GCACTATTTGACTCTCCTTAAAAGCAGCTTGGATGTTCAGAATACTCATTGTCAGAAGAGTCACCATGTTCCAACTTGACAACCATTGACTCTACTAAGCACCTACTATGATCTGGGTACAGTGCTAAGCCCATGAACACAAAAGCAATCATCTTCACCACTGCCCTAGTGATGTTCAGTCTCCCTTCTTAGCATGCATAGCTGTATTATTTGGTCTCTTAGATGCTTATATGTATATCTGAGCATCACTGTAAAATCTCTGTCATCTCAGAAAAACAGTCAAACTCCTGAAATCTTCCTCTTACACATTCCCAGTTTAATGATCAGAACACAAATACAATCAGAATACACTTTAAAGGGGTTTGATTAAATTACAGTTAGGATGTCTCTGAGGCTCTGAGCTACACAGAATAAACAGAAAGCCACAGATAAGATCTTCTCCATCAAACTTCATACAGGAAGAAGGCAACAACCTTGGTGGTCCATGAAAAATGAGTGATGTTTGAGTGCCATGGTTTGCTCTACCAATGTGACAATGGGTTTATCAGAAAATGATCATTAAAGTCTTCACTGTCTCAAAGTCAAATTAATGCACTTGAGGCCCTTTCCTCTGAATCACAGAATTAAGTATTTACTGCATGTCACCCTCATTGACATTGGGCAGAAAGCTAGGTCTGCAGGACGTGTGTGCGTGTGTGTGTGTGTGCGTGCGTGTGTGTGTGTGTGTGTGTGTGTGTGTGTGTGTGTGTGTGTGTTTGAGACTAGATCTCTCTGTGTTGCCCAGGGTGGCCTCTAATTCCTGGGTTCAAGCGATCCTCCTGCCTTAGCCTCCCGAGTAGCTGGGACTACAGGTACTCAATACTGCTCTCAACTCATGCAGGACTTTTCACTCCCCCCGTCCCTGTTCCTAGCTTATAAACCCACAGGAGCATAAGTAGCACTTAGGTATATGAAGTCATGAAATTTGAGCGGCGTGCCTGATTTGAAAGAGATAGAACAACCAGACAATATGGAAGGATGGTTGATGACCAGAGAAATAAGAGGAAGAAAAGCAAATGAAGGCAGGCAGGATGCATAAAAAAGAGATTGGGATAAGAAAGGACAGGATCTAGAACAGAGTGAGGACAGAATCTACTGAAAGGGTGAAGATTCCTTGAGAATCTAACAAAAGCCACAGACCAGAAAAACACACAGAGAGACGCAATCTTTGCATATAATTTCAGTGGGCTCATTCACTCACACAACGAACTTCTGACCTTAGGACTCCATCCTAGAAGGAGAATTTCTCCTCTAAGGAATGGATCTAGAACTCTCTCCATCGGTTGTCGAGAAACTAGAAGAAAGACCACTTTGTTGCAAGCAGGGAGGACACGCAAATTCTCAGTGGAAAAACCGAACTATTGAATCATTCCCTTCAACACAAAGATCACCTGTGGAGACACACTATGTGCTAAGCATCCCTAGGGGTTTCAAGATCCCTATGATAGAGATGATTTATGTATGGATAAGAGGGAGGGCTTATTAGGGCTCCTTCCTGCCAGCAAGGTCAAGTCAGCCCCAGCCAGCAAAAGTCGGTCCCCAGGGAGCATGAATTGGCACAACCACTTTGCAGGGCAATTTGGCAATATCTATCGAGGCCCAAGCTGCATCTAACTCACAGCTCAGCAATTCCACTTCTGGGCCCATGCCCTAGAGAGACTCGCACGCAAGAAAGAGGAGACAGCTTGCTTCAAAACAGACTGAGGCTGGAGACACACTGAGGGGAGAGACACATGGTGGTATATTCATGCCACAGAATACTATACAGCTGTGACAATGAACGAATGAATGAAAACCACTCTTGTTAATCAGCTTAAGTTCATGTTGAGAGCAAAAGGCACGTTGCAGAAGAAAATGTTTCTGGAGAAATGTTACGCTTGCAAGATAGTACCATATGTTTCTTTTTTTACTTTTACGTATTTATTTAGAGACAGGGCCTTCCTCTGCTGCCCCAGCTAGAGTGCAGTGGCATGATTATGGCTTACTGCAGCCTTCAACTCCAGGCCTAAAGCGACCCTTCCTCTTCAACCTCCTAAGTAGCTGGGAGTAGAGGTGTGCCCCATCATACCCAGCTAATTTTTACATTTTTTTTTTGTAGAGATGAGGTCTTGCAATGTTGAAAAGGCTGGTCTTGAACTCCTGGCCTCAAGCAATCCTCCCACCTCGGCCTTCAAAAGCACTGGGGTTACAGGCATGAGCCGCCATGCCTGACCCCTGTATTTCTTATACACTTATGCAGTCAAAGCGTAAAACAGTCTCACTCTGATTTAAGATGTTTTAAAAAGCATAAAGTGGGTACCATATTTTTTAATATACTTAGGTAGTCAAATGGAAATGAGAAACACAAAATCCAGGAAAGCACTTCTAGATGGGGGAGAAAACAAACTGAGTCAGGCAGGGGTTGGAGGTAGGGATTAGGAAGGTTCTGTTTTGATGGCAGGTAACTCTCTTCCCTTCCCGCCCTCACTTCTTTCGCCTCTTCCCATCTCTTGCTCCAGCCACACGGGCCTCCTTACCATTCACCAAAAACGCCAGATCCAGTCCAGTCTCAGGGCCTTTGTACATGCTGATCCCTTTGCCTGGCACTCACTTCCCCTGGCCACCCTCACAGCTTATTCACTCCCTTCTTTAGATCTCCATACAATGTCCCCTTCCCAATGACGCCTTCCCTGGTGTCCAGCCCCTCTGCTTATAATGCATCTTGTCCCTTCCATGCTTTATTTTTTTCTGTAGCCCTCACCGCCATCTGACACACTAGATTTTTTATTTGTTCATTCATTCATTCCTGTCCATTTCTACCACTAGACTATCAGTTCCATCAGGGCAGGAACTTTTTTTTCTGTTTAGTTTACTGCTGTCTTCCGGAGCCTTGAATGGCACCTGGCACACAGAAGATATTCGCTAAATAGTCACCGAATGAATGAATGTGTACACAGGCGTTTGTTAGATTATTGCCTACTTATTTTTGCATGGGGGTCTCGCTATGTTGCCCAGGCTGGTCTCGAACTTGTGGGCTCAAGTGATCCTCCTGCCTCGGCCCACCCAAGCAGCTGGGATTTACAGGCACACACCACTGGCTTTATACATTTATAGGAAACAGCAACAAAGTCGGCCACTAGACTGTTCCCCAGATGAGTTTCCTAGAGGGATAAGAGAAAAGTGTCCATTGTCATGGTATGTCCCTGGAATCTGCCAAGGCCCCCAGCCACAGGATGGCAGGCGCAGTCAACAGAGGGCCCTTGGGGAATGTCCAAGCCCATGAGACTCCTTGTAACAGACTGCTCATGCCTGAAAGCCTCTGCAGAAATAAACCAATGCAAAATAGCTCCTTCCCGAGAAGTAATGTTGGTCCAAAACAAATCTGCACCACGAGAGCCTGGCCAATGCAGCATGGGCACCATGACCCATAACATCCACCAAGACAGACCAGACCTGAAGCAGGAACAGAGCATGGAACTGCGATCCCATATAGCATTACCATGAAGAAGGGGTCCCAGGAAAGAGGGGTCTTAGACTTGAAGAGCCAGACTCAGCTCACAGGAGAGCAGAGGGTGATGGGGGAGGAGCCAGCTGTAAATACCCGGTGGCAATGTCCAGACTGGAATGTGACAAATGACTCTGGAGTCCCCAACAGGCACTGGTTGACCATTCACCAAATCCTTCTGAGCACGATCTGATATTTCCCAGCTTCCCTTGCAGTGGTGTGTGATCATGTGACCAGGCTCTACCCAATGGGCTATGGATGGAACACGTCCCTTCCAGTCCCATAAACCTTCCCCAGCATCACCCTCCACACTGGCCTCTCTTCTGTGGTTTGATACAGACAAGTGTGAAGTTCTTGGAAGCTGTGGGTAAGAATGAGGAACCACAACATGGTGGGGGCCAGAGTCGCTCAATCACTGTTTGGGGGAGACAAGCCAGCCAACTAGGTACAACTACTTGGGACTTTCTGTCTTTTGTTTAAGATGGGGTCTCACTCTGTCACCCAGGCTGAAGTGCAGTGGCATGATCACAGCTCACCACAGCCTTGACCTCCTGGGCTGAAGTGATCCTCCCACCTCAGCCTCCGAAGGAGCTGGGACTACAGACATGCACCACCACACCTGGCTAATTTTTGTTTTATTATTTTAGAGCTGGGATCTCACTATGTTTCCCAGGCTGGTCTTGAACTCCTAACCTCAACCGATCCTCCCGCCTCAATCTCCCAAAATGCTGGGATTACAGGCACATGCCACCATGCCTGCTCCATTTTGGACTTTCAGTGAGTGAGGAATCAACTTCTGCTGTGTGTGAGTCATTCCCTAGTTGGAGATCTTCTGTTACAGCAGTGACTGTTATCTTAGGCAAGTTCCTTGGAGGAAAGCATATGCACATTTTAACCACGGTTCATTGTATTACGGATCCGAAAACGCCCCAAAGATGTGACCGGAACACCATTTAGATTGGTCTTCTTCATCGTCATAACCACAATCCCTTGTGCCCAGAAGCTCCCAACAAACATTCATGGATTCGAAACAACGGCAAGACATCCCCAAGCCCAGCGAGAGGCCCGCGCCTGTGCAACTGACAAAACCTTAAGTCCAGGAATCATACAGACCCATGATCACATCCGGCTCCACCCCTGACCAGACTTTAAACAAGTTCCGCTGTGCTCTGATGCTGCCGAGGCCATGTGGGAATATTAATATCTCCTAATTCATTGGGTCATTGTGAGGATTAAACGGGAGGAGGTACATGAGGCACTTTGGAAGCTATCATCAGCTCTTATTTAGTGGTCACAGAAAGCGTCTGCTGTGATACACAGTCGAGACACGGGCACGGGAGCAGGGTGGGGAAGGAGGCAGATGCACGACGGAGGACCATGCGGACTCAGCCTTTCTGAGCCCAGCCCCAACCACACCAACCACAGCCTTCCCATCCCTCGGCAAGAGGCATTGAGGACCACAGCACGTGCCACCTACCCTGTTAGCACCACCACGAAGTCCATGACGTTCCAGCCATTCCTCAAGTAAGAGCCTTTGTGGAAGGCAAACCCAAGGGCGATGATTTTAATTCCAGCCTCGAAACAAAAAATTCCAATGAAGTATGGTTCAGTGTCATCCTGGAAGGGAGAGAAGGCAGGGTCAGAGTCTTGGGCTGGGCAGAGGGTGGCAAGCCCAGGGAAGGAGCATGCCCAGTGCCCATCTCCCTCTCACTTCCCTGACCCACCTGCACCCATCAACCCTCACTTCGTCTTGCTGGAGTTCCATTATTTTGGAGTTGCAACCTCACTCTGATACCCAGGCTGCAGTGCAGTGGCACCATCATGGCTCACCCCAGCCTCGACCTTGTGGGCTCAGGCGATCTTTCTGCCTCAGCCTCCCGAGTAACCAGGACTACAGCCACCATGACTGGCTCACTTTTTTTATTTCTTGTAGAGATGAGATCTCACTATATTGCCTAGGCTGGTCTTGAGCTTCTGGACTCAAGTGATCTTCCTACCTTGGCCTCCCAAAGTGTTAGGATTATAGGTGTGAATCACCATGTCTGGCCTTATTGTTTAGAGACAAGGTCTCGCTCCGTTGCCCAGGCTGGAGTGCAGTGGCGTGAACACAGTACATTGTAGCCTTGAACTCCTGGGTTCAAAGGGTCCTCCCACCTCAGCCTTCCAAGTAGCTGGGAGTACAGGCGTGCACCACCGTGCCCAGCTGCCGAATTCTCTTGACCGAAGATTTTTACAAGTGAAGCAGCTCAGAGAAGACACTTTTCTCCTCCTTCCCTCTTGGTCGACCTCACATACCACCGAGTCACGTGGAATTGTTTGTTTGGATCCGTGTTGTTTAATACGGCAGCCGCAGCTCACGTGTGGCTATTTCAATTAAAATTAATTTTAATGTAATAAAATTTAAAATGTAGTTCTGCAGTCACACTAGCCACATTCCGAGTGGCGCCATATTGGACGGCACAGATGGAGACCACTGCTACGAGTGCAGAGAGTTCTACGGAAAAGCGCTGGCTTGGTGTTTGCAGTTTGAGGTGGAACCCTGTGCCCTGACCTCACTCCCAAATCTGACTCCCAAGGATGTCTCTCTGTGGCACAGTCAGGGTGTGATGGGATTGGGCTCAGGCTTCTGCATTGGCTGGTACGCGGCCAGCGCCCGCACTTCCCGGTCCCTATGCAGAACCTATCCGTTCCGGTTCCCAGCTGATAGTCGGCTATATTTGAAATTAAGCTACACATTGTTCCACCAGGGCCCTACATGAACATCTTCCCATCATTGAGGTGTTTTTTGAGTCAGGATCTCACTCTGTTGCCCAGGCTGGAGGGCAGTGGCACGATCACAGCTCAACACAGCCTCAACCTCCAGGGTTCAGGCGATCCTCTCACCTCAGTCTCCCGAGTAGCCAGGACTACAAGTATATGCCACCATTCCTGGCTCATTTAAAAATTTTTTTTGTAGAGATGAGGTCTTGCTATGTTGCCCAAGCTGGCCTCGAACTCCTAGGCTCAGGCGATCCTCCTGCCTCGGCCTCCCAAAGTGCTGGGATAACAAGCGTGACCCACCATACCTGGCCAAGTCAACATCTTCCGCAAGGATTTTGTTTGGATAGGATGTTTTAATGGGCCATGTGAGCACTTGTGACCTGTCCCCCTCCCGGTGGACACCAGGTATGCAAGGTGGCAAGGGGACAGGTGGAAAGGGAGGTTGTCTCTTCCCCCGTCGTGACTGGGGCTCGTGAAAGCTGGGATCCCTGCAGGCAGGCTCTTGGCCCCTGGACCGAGGGCCCACCCTGCACCCTGAGGCCCTCCCCCAAGGCAATGTCCCGCAGAAGGGAGGAGAAACCTGCCGAGGAGACACCACTCACCAGCCGCTCGGACATCGGGGTCTTGTCGTCATCAGGCAGATGTTGCTCCAGCGCGAGGACGATGCAGTTTGCGATGATGGTGGCTAAAATCATGTATTCAAAGGGAGTAGCGAGGAGTTAAGGAAGAGACTTTCCAGCATGTTTTTTTGTTTGTTTTGAGTCAAGGTCTCACTCTGTGGCCCAGGCTTGAGTGCAGTGGCAAGATTGTGTCTCACCACAGCCTTGACCTCCTCAGCCTCCCAAGGAGGTGGGACAACAGGCGCACGTCACCCTGTCCAGCTCATTATTTTATTTTTGTAGAGACGAGGTTTTGCTATGTTGCCCAGGCTGGTCTCAACACCTGGGCTCAAGTGATCCTCCTGTCTCAGCCTCCCAAAGTGCTGGGTTTACAGATCTCAAGCACTTCAGAACCTCCTAACCCCTATCAGTAGGTGGAGTCCTTCAGGTCTCCCACCTGTGGAAAACCCTTCAGGTTCTAAGCCCAGGGCAGGTGATTTTTAGGAAGAAATGTGGAGGCTCACCCTCGATCTCACCTCCAACATTCATTGAACAAGTATGGATCAGAACCTGCTGCATGCCAGGCTCTGTTCTGGGCACTAGGGACATGGCTAGGGGCAAAATGGATAAAAATCCCTGCCCTTGGGGAGGAAAAAAGCATAAAGGCAATAATTATATTAAGTAGACACGTCATACACTCGTTACCAACTACAACACATATACTGCTATGGAATACATCACTTACACTATGTCATAGAATATGTTACACGCACTGTGTTATTTAGTAACATAGTCAATTCTAACATAGTCAATGCTAATAGAGAGCAAATCAGGGAAGGGGGATGGGGTTGCAATATGGTCAGCCAGGCGCGGTGGCTCATGCCTGTCATCCCAGCACTTTGGGAGGCTGAGGTGGGAGGACCGCTTGAGGCCAGGAGTTTGAGACCAGCCTGGGCAACATAGCAAGACCTTGTCTCTATAAAATAACCAAAAACTTAGCCAGGCATGGTGGCATGCACCTGTAGCCCCAGTTACTCGGGAGGCTGAGGTGGGAGGATTGTCTGAACTCAGGAGGTTGAGGCTGAAGTGAGCCGTGAGTGTGCCACTGCACTCCAACCTGGGCCACAGTATGAGATCCTGACTAAAAAAATGTAAGTAAGTAAGTAAATAAATAACTGAAAATATGGTGGTCAGATTTGACACCAAAAGCATAAGCCACAAAATAAAAAAAATGGATACATTGGACTTCACCAAAATTAATAACTTTTGTGGATCATCAAAAGACAACATCAAGACAGGGAAAAGATGACCAACAGAATGGGGAAAAATGTTTGCAAATCACATATCTGGTAAGGATGTAGTATTCCACTATATAAAGAACACTCACAATCCAATAACAAAAAGACAAACAATTCGATTTCTTTAAATGGGCAAAGAGCTTGAATAGATATTTCTCCAAAGAAGATAAACAGATGGCCAGCAGGCGCACAAAAAGATGCTCAGCTTGTTAGTCACCAGGAATATGCAAACAAAAACCACCACGAGATATCGCTTCATGCCCTCTAGAAGGAACAGAATTTTATGCAACCAGACAAACAGAAAAAGGGTTGGTGAAGATATGGAGGCTGGAATCCTTGTGCGTGGCTGGTGGGAATATAAATTGGAAAGTGGTTTGGTGGCTCCTCAAAAAGTTAAACAGGTTGGATGCAGTCGCTCAAGCCTGTAATCCCAGCACTTTAGGAGGTTGAGATGAAGGGACTGCTTGAGCCCATGGGTTCGAGAATGGCCTGGGAAACTTGGCAAGACTTCATCTCTACAATAAATCAAAAAATTAGCCGGGCGTGGTAGCGCACATCTGTAGTTCTGGCTACTTGGAAGGCCGAGGCGAAAGGATTGCCTGAGCCCAGCAGGTCGACATTGGGGTGGCCATGAATGTGCCACTGCACTCCAGCCTGGGCAACAGAGTGAGACTCCAACTCAAAAAATAAATAAATAAACAGCATGACCATATGATACAGGAATTCCACTCAGAGATACCAGCCCCCCAAAACTGGAAAACAGGTACTCAAATACTCGCACATGGATGTCCACAACAGCACTATTCACATCAGTCGGCCAAAAGGCAGAAACAACCTAGTTGTTCACCTGTGAACAAATGGATCAACAACATGGGTGGTATATCCATAGAAGGGAGTATTACTCAACCACAAAAAAGGAATGAAGTATTGATCCGTGAATCAACATGGACGGACCTTGAAAACATTATGCTAATGCACGGTCCCCTGGTCGGGTTGTCTATACCACATGGGAGCCCAGAGGAGGAGGGGCCCACTTTGGCCATGTGGAGATGGATTGGCCACAGTCTGCACCCTTTCTGTGAAATGTTGACTTTGTAAACCTGCCCCCACCCAGCTGGCCACGTCCACCCCTCGGTGTCAGGATAAGCCGTTCTCTGCCTGTGTCTCAGTAGAGAGGTCATTGAGAGCTGAGCTCAGCCCATACTCCTCTTTTGAGTTTCTTTTTTTTGGAGTTGGAGTCTCACCGTCACCCAGACTGGAGTGCAGTGGCCGCTCCCGGCCACCGCAGCCTCGACCTGCCTGGTGTATGGAGACTTTTTCTCCTGGGTTTTCTGTTTCAGATTACGTTTTCCCACCTGGAGAGCTGATCTGTGTTTCAGCCCTCCCACCAGCCTGGAAGGGATGGTTTTATGGCGCCTCCAAAATGCCAAACTCAATTCCAGGACAGAAGGGGAGACTGAAGCCAATTAATTTTCCAAAGGAGCAAGTTAGGGGAAGAAGGGGAGAAGTTTACCATGGCCAGGCCTGGTGACTCACGCCTGTAATCCCAGCACTTTGGAAGGCTGAGACAGGAGGATTGCTTGACCTCAGGGGTTTGAGACCAGCCTGGGCAGCATAGCGAGACCTCGTTTCTACAAAAAAAAATTTTTTTTAATTAGCTGGACATGGTGGTGCATGCCTGTAGTTTCAGCTACTCAGGAGGCTGAGGCAGGAGGATCGTCTGAGCCCAGGAGGTTGAGGCTGCAGTAAGCTGTGTCTGTGCCACTACACTCCAGTCTGGGCAACAGAATGAAACCCCAACTCAAAAAAAAAAAGTGGGAAGAGGAGGGCAAATTCACTAAGGTACGCTCATTAATCTCTACAGAACAGTGGATTTCATCGTCCTCGAGGGACACTTGGCAATGTCTGGCAGCCACCTTATGTTGTCATTGCTGCAGAGGAATGAATGCTACTGGCATCTGCAGGGTAGAGGCCAGGCATGCTACTCCACATCCTACAGTGACCCAGACCCACATGCCGGTCACGCTGAGGTCGGGAAATCCTGCTTAGGAATTACCAGCATCCTATGGCTTTCTCCAGAGGGCATCGGTGTCTCCACGCCTAACCCTCTCCTTCAGAAACTGCAGGATCTGGTACAGAGCCTAAGGGGCTGGGCAGGGGTGATGTAAACTGCGCTGATGTAAACTGCACAAGACCAGTTCTCCCCACTGCCCTGTGGATCCTCTGAGGAGGGGGGAGGGGAGGAGGACACTGGGAGGCCTCGTCTGCCCAGAGGAGAGTTCCCAGGATACAGGGAGAGGTTTGCAAGCCAGAGAGAAAGTCCCTGCGGTGTCTAGAGTTGGCCACGTGGACTGCCCTTCCCAGCCTTCGGATCTTGAAATATTAGCTGCTCAGAGGCCCACCATATTTTTATTTTATTTTTGTGAGTAGGGGTCTTGCTCTGTCACCCAGGCTGGAGTGCTTATAGCTCACGACTCACCACCCCCTCGACCTCCTGGGCCCAGGCGATCTTCTCGCCTCAGCCTCCCAACTAACTGGGATTGCAGATACACATTACCATGCCCAAATAAGTTTTTGATTTTTTGTAGAGGCGATGTCTCGCTGTGTTGCCCAGGCTGGTCTCAAACTCTTGGCCTCAAGCAATCCTCCCACATCGACCTCCCAAAGTGCTGGGTTTATGGGTGTGAGCCCCTGTGCCCAGCCTCCTGTATTTTTTTGCCTCGAGGTGAAATTCATATAACACAATTAACCATGTTAAAGTGACTAATGGCTATTGTCTTACTAGACTCTGGTGTGGCCATGTGCTCTTTGAGCTATGGCCGTGCCATGTTACCTAGCTCTGGCCCCCTCCCCTCCCCTTGGGAGGTGAATCCCCCTCTTTCTCTCTTTCTTTGTTCAGGCTTTGCCTCCAGCTAAAAGCAGCAGAAGATGAGCTCCACAGACGCCCTGAAAAGCCCATCAGAGGCTCAGGCCAGTCGGGGGAGCCAGCGGAGGCCGGCCCTGCTGATGAATGCTCAGATTGGCTTCCTGCCTCCGAGCTGACAGGCACCAGGAGCAGAGAGGAAAAAGCCGGGCTATGTTGCACAAATACTCCGTGCTGCCTCGCCCTAAGGCCCCAAGAAGCCGAGACAATATTTGTACACAGGGAAGCCACGCCAATCCCTCCCTGGTCTGCTCCCGCCGTGTCCGGGCGCCTTTGTCGCTCCCCCTCCCTGCCAGCATTCACTCCTGCCATCTCACGCCCCAGTCCCCTGGCTTCCTGCCCTGAGCGGCAGGAATGTGACTTCCTTTGCTCCGGGTTCTGGGAACAGTCCCAGAAGGCCAGCCTGCGGCACGCAGTGCTCTGCGGGCTGCACCATCGGGGTTTCTATTGCCCCATGTTGCCCGGATTTCAGACCCGCGGCTCTGGGCCACCAGGCCTTAGGATGGGGCCAGAGGGGAAGGGGCTTCCCTGCCCCACCCACTCACACAGGTCCTGCACGGCCCTCCTCTCTCCATGCCCACAGACAAGCCCCAGAGGGCACTCAGCAACATTACTTTTTATTTTTGGGATCTGGGTCTCACTCTGCAGTCCAGGCTGGAGTGCAGTGGCACGATCACAGCTCATTGTAGCCTCGACCTCCTGGGCTCAGGTGATCTCCCACCTCAACCTCCCGAGTAGCTGGGACTCCTTGTCTCTATAAAACTATTTTTAAAAATAGAGACAAGGTCTTGTGGTGTTGCCCAGGCTGGTCTTGATCTCCTGGGCTCAAGCGATTCTCCCGCCTCGGCCTCCCAAAGTGTTGGGATGACGGGCATGAACCACCGCACAGG